GAAGTGAATTTAGACACCTGAGTAAATTCGATTTCTGGTTTGGATTTTTATAGAATAGCAGGGCTGAATTGTTTATTGGGCTGAATATTATGCTATATATCACTAAAAACAACCAACACACAACAGCAACTGTAAGGGCTGCAATTCCTATCATCTTGATTTAAAATGTATAATGACAGCCATGTTATAAGTATAGACTTTTGTTCATCCTATTATTTAATGAACACTCATATATAAGTAAGACATCAGGGTCGGGAGATGCAAATGCATTTAATTTTGGGTCGCCAGCCAAAAAGCTGCTGTCTACTATTAAAATTATAGTTACCAAAACTAAGAAGATTTTAAAAGTTCAAATTGATTGTATTGTGTGTTTATATTATACCATATGCTTCAATACTCATAACCTTAAAACTCCATAAAACTATTTTCTTTGCCTATATCTGATCTCTAGTGAACCGATTTTGTCTATACTATAATAATATAAAGAGTAAATATTTCATCGTTTGTTTGCACCGAATAGGCTTCGAAACTACTACATCAATTTTAAAAATTCTTTTACCTACGGTTAGCCACATCGTAAGGGATTGACAGGCTATAATTTACGCGCCCGAAGTCACAAAACAATAGGAGGTTCTATGATAAAATAAGCATGCACGCGACATCAAGTACTGCGCTTCACAGCATATAGGTTCAATTAAATAAAACCTTCACTACCTGTCAAAAGGTCTTATTCAAATATATGCTGTGACTCAACGTCAAGTTTACCGTTGAAATCTTTAAGGACTACATGAGATAGAATATTGTCAATACTAATATTATAAAGATAAAATAATTGATTGTTTATTTGCATCGAGTAGACTCTGAAAATACTGGACTAATTTTACGGGTTACTACATCATACGCGGATGACAAATTATATTATTTACGCGGGCAAAATCCCGGTAAAACAGCCAGTTGATAAACGTTTTCCTTTTTGTTGTTACAGCATGTAACAGAACCTACATGGGCGACGTAGGACGTACATACGAACTCGAAGTGAGGAGGCCTAGAGAAGATCATCTACCCTTCGTGTGTCATCTGAATTTTACCGCCACGGGCGGCAACTATGGAGATATCATTCAGGTATGAAAACAACTTCCTTTTTCCTGTTCAAACGAATAATTTACTTTACATTGTTTTAAACTGTCATGGTCATGGTCATTTTTTCAAACATTAGAATTATAGTTATTTACGGGATTGCTGCCATGTTTCTTATATTTATCGAGTCATTGATATTTCGTCGCTGTTGTAAGCGCCATGATTAAGGAGTAACTGAAGTCTTTTGGGTGGAGTTTGTTGATAAATGACTCCAGCTACCCCTCAAGCCCTCTTACGTTAGATACCCAAACACTAAATCATCACTAACTCGTACCTGTTCTCGACACAAACACTCACTGTATCTGATCGCAAAACGACACTTTTTAAGGAATACAAATATAAAATCGGAATTCGACGTTGAGAACAGCGCTATAATAGCATAGAGGTTCCATAAAATAAATTTTCTATTACCTTTGAAAAAGTTTTAACATAATAGTACTGCTGTTGTGCTGTTGACTCGTACGTGTTACACTTATATTAAAAAATAATTAATATTTAATAAATTGTAAACATTGAACGATATAAACGTTAACTATCACGAATTACAAAAAATATTATAAAATATTTAAAGCGCGGTTGGGTCAGTAAAGAAATTAATACAAAACCACTAGAGATAATCAAATATAAACTAAGAACATTTGAATACAATAAACGGTCAATATTAATTCTATGACGTTATAATAAAAAGCGCACATAACCTATCTTGACTGAAGATATGTCTTTTATCATTGAATAACGTTTGTTTCAGCTGACATTCGATACCTTCACGGTGGGGAAGTTCGTGTCGTTTACATCGGATGGTTGCCCAGATGGGCACATGACGATAGTGGAGAGGAGTCCCTCACCACCCACCGGACAATGGTGTGGGTCCGCTTGGGGATACACGGTGTATTTCAGTGAATCAGACTCGATAAATATGACGTTGCGGTTAGACAGACTGAGCCAACAGGTAAATGATTTTTAGATTAAATCTATATTCTATTTCACCGAAAATGGAATTTTGTCTATTTTTTTCAATGCTAATATGTCTTCAAAGAAACGCATTTTTGATGCGACGGAGCTAAGACCTGGCATTGATACTTTGATACAAAGCAAATCTTGACGGATGAAATTTTAAGAAAACAATAAAAATTTATTGAAATTTTCCAAATTTTCGTTTGTGGAAAAATAGAATAGGCCCTCAGGTCATGTTGATTCGTATGAGTTATATAGAAATATATTTAACAAATCGATTTTCTTTCGAAGAAAGTTACTAAAAATGGATTAGTGTCCCTAAAATAGTATAGTGAAATTACTTTTGAATTAGTCTTTTCTCAATACAATACAGTTGAGTGAATCGGTAAACCGAATGCAATTTTTCTGGAATTATTGACAATATACAAATAGGAATAATTGAAGGATTAGGAACATTTTGAGATTGTATTCCATATTCGGTTACTTTCCCCTGCCAAAAATCGAATTACAAAGATTAAACTTAATAGCGACTCATATAGTCGCTTTCGGTTTCATTGCGTAATAACAGAAACAGCATATACAGTTTATGTTACATTTACTGTATTATTTTTAATCGAATAAATATTGGTTCAATCGAATTTAGAACGTATTAAAGGACTTCCTAAAAGCTGTGGAAAGTTCCGGAAAAAGATCAATAATATACAAACTGTTTGTTATTCATCCAAATTGATTTTATCACCTTTAAAGTATGCTTCATAAACGATACACTTATGCCAACGAATAGACCAATCAATTAAAAAAATTTCTAAATGCTCTTTCCGGATTTGAGTTCAGTTCGCGCCGCGAATTCTCCTTTATGTCTTCTACCGACTGAAAACGGTGGCCACGAAATGGTAATTTGCGTTTAGAAATAAGAAAGACGTCGGCTGGAGCCATATCTGGTGAATATGGTGGTTGCTCGATGGTATTTGTTGAGTATTTGCTCAAAAATTCGTTTACAATGTGGCCTTGTGCGAAGGCGCATTATCGTGGAGCAAAATCCAAGTTTTTTTTTTTCCCACAAATCAGGCCTTTTTCGTCGAATTTGCTCTCTTAAACGCCGCATAACGCTCAAATAATATTTCTTATTTGACCTTCCGGTAAGAATTCCGAGTGTACAACACCGCGATAGTCAAAGAAAACTATCAACATGACTTTGATTTTTGAACGACTTTGGCGTGGTTTTTTCGGTTTCGGTTCAGTTGGAAGGCGCCACTCCGAAACTTACCAAAAGATTAAACTTATCATAACGACTAACTATTGGAAAATTGTTTAGAGTCTATTATTAAAGAATATACATACTTTTTAAAGGTTTTATAAAATTTTGTAAACAAAAGTGTCATTCGCGTATACGTTCCACTCGCAGCTGAGCGGCTGTGTTTAATTTTCCAAAAAAAAAGTTCACACTTCTTGTTTCACTTATTAATATAAGTATCCCAAGAAATAACGTTTTGCTATTAATATGATGACGAAAATGATGTGAAATATTATGTATCTACACATTTGGGTCTGTCCATTTAGATAATTATGAAAACAAATAATTTATTTATGGGTCGAAGTGTGACTATTATTTGACTACTTCAAATCACCCCTAAAATACAGGTCCTTAGCTTATTCACTTCCTAATTCAACGTGAAGCAGAAGCCGTAACTTTAATGATATACTCCCATAATTATAGAATGGTAGAACTCATTGGAACTTCGTGGAACACCTCCAATAATTATTACCTTAGTACATATGGACGAACCGATGTTATCATTGCTGAGTAGTATTTGTGTTCCTCCACATCGAAGGTGTAATTACTGATGTTTTCAACTGCGTAGTAAGTGACTTTGCAACATATGTGTATATTAATGTAAAAGCTATGTGTTACTAGTAGCTGGAGGTTTTATAACTTCATCATAATTCGAAGTTTAAAAAAAGAGTATCATTTACTTGTATTATTTTATGATTCTTACTGGTGGTCTTTAAAGAAGGTTAATTTAAAACCTGTTTTGTGTATCATTAAAAGATATATTTAAATTCAACTTTCAACCAAATGAATATCCAAGTTTAAGTTTCGGTGGGAATTTGAAGGAAGATCCTTCAATTGTCTCACGAAAGTATGAAAAGTACCTGATGGAAATCATGTTGAGTGTACAAATTCGAATATTATACAATTAGTCAGTTGACACAAAATGACGAGAGTTGACGTTTGGAAACTGCTAGTGAGTGCGACGCATTTTCTGTCAGATATGGCGGTCCATATCTGACAATAGAATTATAGATATCTGTAAGCAATGGAATTATGGATATCTGTTAATGTACGTCACCTAATATTTTTTCCTTAAAGTCGGTACTTTAAGGAAAAAATATTAGGTGACGCATTACATTAAATATAAAATATTAGATAAAAAAAATTAAGATGTCCGGACAGAAGTTAGAACAGATATCTATAATTCCATTGTTTACAGATATCCATAATTCCATTGTTATGAAAACGAAAATACTGTTCATTTAAAATGACTACAGCGAGAATCCTGTCTTTTCCGACGTTTTAATAAGACATATTTATATTGAAATGAGCTTTTTAATTAGCAGTTTTTACACGAAATGTTAATCTGTATAAATGAACAACCGTATCTATCTTCATTAAGAGTCACTTACACATCCCTTTGTGTTCCAGTGACGTGACGTAACTAACTACATGTTTTCGCCTGTGACTCGACTAATATTTCACATCACCCCGCTTTTAACGGTTCGATGCCTTCCTTTATCTTCTGTTAGCAGCCGTATTATGTGCACCAAGGGTTGAACTTTCGATCAATTAATTAAGCGACGATTAGGACGCCCTCTGGGGGCAAGGATAGGCCTTACTTACAATTACAATAATGGATGTTATTACCGGCTCATTCCGTAATTTAATAAAGGGAATTTGCGGATACTGTGAGGAGCTTTTGCTACTGAAGGTATAGTAACTTCGTCATTTGTACATAAGTTAAACTAAGTTAATGGGGCACATTATAGTGTTTTTTTTTATCTGATGTCACGCAAGCAAGGGTATAATTTTCCACCGCTAATAATGGTACAACATCGTCATATTTTGTTAAATAAGTAACAGATATAAGTTGGGCATTGGAAAAAAATAGTTTAAAAAATCTGAAACACTCAAGCTCTTTGCAATATGAAAAGACTTGTAGAATAGTTATAAGTAAATTAAAAACTAAACTCAATTTGATTCAAAATCGGTGTCGAAAATAATATTATACGGCATATTTTATACCTAACTGAACATACTATTTATTTTCACATAGTTATATTCGTAACTAAGGCAACGTTGCACCACAATAGCAACATAGTACTGAGAAATTCACTGTAATAAAACAGTTTCTGACAGCGCTCTTGCTTATAGGGTGTTGGATACAATTTCGACTTCAAGTTGGCGTACAAGTTCCTGAGGCGGAGTGAAGCGCGGTTGCGGTATGGTAACGCCACTGTGGGGGCATGGAGGGGTGACAGGGTACCGGGTACCTATTGCGACCGCATACTGAGTGACTGCGACCTCCGCGCTTGTCGAATCCAGTCTCCCAACTTCCCAGGAGTGTACCCAAGAAATGCTACATGCACATATCGCATTGAACATACTAAGGTGAGAAAAGAAGAAATTATCTCTTTCTTTTTCTTTATGAAAATTGGTATTATCCACGATATTATATTAGAAATTAGGTCTAAATATTCTTTTATGATTAATGCTTAAAAAACCACTTTGTCCCTGGCACTCTGAGTTGGGACTCGAACCGCGAACCTCGAGCTACCCAGGACCTAACATGACTGACGAATCGTTTAAACACTTGTTTTTCGCTACTATAGAGCATGTTTTCATCAATATTCAGGCAATCCACCCAAACAAACACCAGGGAAAAGGAATTTTTTAAGCATTTATTTTTATTAAGAATATTTTTCAGTATAATATCTAAAATTAATAAAATTTTGTGATGAACTTACAGGCAGTTGCACAAACGTCCATTAAATTTTTCATTAGTTAAAGCAACATTACCCATACAAGTTTGACATTCATTAGAGCTTAAAGGCGTCATCAAACCTTAATGGACGTTTGTGCAACTGACCGTTAATCCAATATGTTACATTACATAGACTAGTTTCAAGGTAAATTAAGGTGCAATATCAAAATTAAAATTAGGAGTGGTTAAAACAATGGTGATGCCGAATTTTTTTTTTCTTTTGATATCTATAAATATATTTTTCAACAGTTTTAGTAATATTCTAAACTATACTTTATGCATATGAATAACAACTAAATAATGAGTTAAATCTCATATTAGACCGTAGCCGTAATACGGTATTTTTCAGCAAGCGATTAACGTTCTAACCGCAAAAGTTAATTTGAAAAAAATCTAAGCTCTATCTATATAGAGCTTAGATTTCATTAGCTGTATCTCCACTTAGTACTTTCATTTTGGACTGCAATTAAATATAGTGAATGTGTAGACAATCATAATCATGTTATTATAAAGAAAATGAAGCTTGTTACATTTTTACAAGTTGAGAAAATGAAATCATAATATTCATTCAATTTAAAACGAAAGAGTATTGACAATTAACAAAAAATATTTCTAGTTTCAAATAATGAAACCGATAAAATGAATAATTGTATATGGGTATGATTTATTATAAGGTGAGTTTTTCATTCCATCAATATAAATGTTAACTAAAAGTATACTACCTAACAAAGTTCGAGGCCAGGCTACCAGGCATTTTTAAAGAAACTACAAGAACACACCGTCACTACCTATATTTTTATTCTCACTGTACTTGTTTTATATATGTTTTTTATTCTAAAATTATGAATGACATTTAGTTTTAAACAAAATTCTGAATGTAAATTGCCAAAAAGGTTTTATATATAAATACTTTTTTATTCAATATAAAGTAGCATATCACTTGGTTGAATGAAATACTCGAGATCTTTATTGAATAACGGTAAAAAGCAATTTTTCTTACAATGAAGGCAACAAAATCATTGTTAATTTTGATTGATGAAGTCGCGTGCAAATTGATTTACAAAATGTACAGAATATGAAATGGGAATGATGTATTCAAATCCGATATTTATTCATTTTGTTGAATTTTTATGCGATGCTTAGAATATTTCTGAATATTCAAATGAAAATATACATATATAGTGAATTTTAAGCACCATACTTTTGTATTAAAATGGAATGACTTTTTAGAAGGAACACACTGAAATATGAAATGACGGCACTGAAGAAGATTTGAAATGAGCTTTAGATTTCGCCGTCAGTTTTGTAGGATTTTGTTACGTTTTAATCTTTTTGTCATAAAGTGAAGGTTAGACGTAAGAATGTAATAAATAAGCACATAAAACTTTCATTACAAGAAACGTTAAATGGCCTTTGAATCGTGAAAGTTTTATTGTTGTGTACCCATTCCATACTATTTATCAGACAGTATCTAGATTAAACGTTAAATAAATTAAACAAGTCGCTTTTCTGCATCGAAGGAGGTACTGAAGGTAAATAAAACCACCAGTGGACCACAATTTTGTTTTGAAACCAAACTTTGATCAAGCCTAAATTTTCGACAAATAATCTATCAATATGATACATACTTTTGGAAATAAAACATAATACCGCGATGTACCAACTAGACAAAATTTAACATAAATATTATTCACAATAACTACCATTACTTCACCTTAGATCAAAGATAAATGCATTATTTATCTTAATAGTTTGAACTAAATACACTCATAAATGACTTATACATAAATAATAGAGCCATGAGACTGCGAACCCGATTTATACATCGTCCATTGTGGTGTTTCGAATTAATATTTAATTCAAATTTCACACTGCCTGCCACTGCGACAAGCTTACTGCGTAAATATATTATGTTTGCACGTGAGAGTTGAAGAGACTAAGCCCGCATAATGAATTTGGTATTCTATTGCAATTTGATAAAAATATATTTTTTAGTTTATAAAAAAAAATTTAACCAGTTTGCACTGGACCAGCGTGGTAGTTCATGTCCAATTCTCCCCATTCGATTTTATTCCATCCATAGGGTAGGCCTGTGCTCCAGCATTGGGAACATTAATAGAATGGTGATGATTAAAAATATATATAACTTTTACTTAATCAAGTTTTTCTTTTCAGATACCAGCTGACAAACACGTTTTGTTAGCGGTAAGACAAACGAACAGTCACAAAATACATATCAAAGATCAAATAGTGAAATATGATAGAAGTCAACGTGTTTTAAAGTAAGTATCTTACAATTTTGTCGAAGCTTTTAAACGTACGAGCAAATTAATGCAATTCTATAACTAAATGAAAATACCACACAATACATTCAAGGAGACTTACAACGTATTGTGTGTTGACATGCCGAAATATATTAAATAACTATACTATCTGCATTCAAATTTCTCATTTCATTCCAATTTTAATATAGTTTTATGTTACATAATAAGAGATTAATGTCAGCCAGAATATAGAAAAATATATGACGTTATTTTTGCTTCAATTTAACAAGAAATGACTTGGGTAATGGGCAAAGTTAAGGAGTGGGGGCTCGCTACGTCACAACTAAGCAAAATTGGACATAAGTTTGACGTTATTCGACATTTTAACTCGATGTATAGCCGTAATCAATATTTTTAATATTCCTCTATAATCAATCCGAGATAAAAAAAATGCGACATCATCCGAATTTTTTTTTTTTTTTATATAATTAATTTCCTTGAATAAAAACAGAAATAAATTGGAGACTTCTAAAAAAACAAAAAGTACACCAAACATAAAATCAGAAAATATCAATGGTTTTTTTTTATATTTAATACAGGTATACATATTGTTATCTATTTTAAGGTAAAATATATTTTTTATACGTCTTGAAAATCACAAAATCGTTCAATTTTCTAAATGTTGTTTTCTTTCAAGTGTTTACCAATTGTTCACTTAGTTAAGTTTGGAAAACACCTAAATCTAGTCAGTTTGAATTGCTCCCTCATAATTTTCTGACACTCCAACAATTGGACGTTCTCGAGACCAAAAAAAAAATAATCCAGTAATTCCCAATAGAAATCTATTCAATGAAGTTGATTAAAACCAAATATTTGTTTCGTGTTGATGCGAGTACGATTCAAACTTGTAAGATGGATTAAGCACGACTATTTATCTTTCACACGTTCTCTGGTTTATATAACTGTTTTAACGAAACAATTTAATTTATTCGAGAAACGTAAGATTGTCTTTGAATTTTGTCTCAAGGTTTTATGAAAGTCACGAGTCAACATTTTTCTATAGTAAAAGAAATAATTTTTGATATTCTAAATAAAATAAAGTTATAAATTATCGAAGTGTGTCAAAGTTTGATATATTTGTTTGATATCTTTGTGCACAAAAGAAAAACAAAATAAATATAATATGCGAACTTAATTCTATCCTAGTAGGCTATCGTTAGCGTAACGTGGTTATGTTAATAATGATTATAGATAGGTATTGAGCTGATCATTATTAACCGCATTGCTTTGAATGGACTGTATAGGAAACATACATTTTACCATCCGCCACTGACATACGCCTAGGTTATCCGCGTCGCACGGAATCATAGTTTTAACCTTACCTAACAAAATTTTGTTTGCCGTGTTCTATACGATGAAGTCTTAAAATAAATGATTCATGAAAAAAAACGACACAAATCTTTTCCTCCGTCAAAGTCTCATTTTAAAAAAAGTAAATTCAGCTCAGTCGTTTTGTTATAATTAAAGAACAAACGGAATAATTTTGGCATTTATAATGATAGATAATAAAATATTGAAATTACATAAATTATTGTTAGTATCACATGAAAATACATCTTCCTGATAAATTATACACAATCTCAGACCTTAGATTGTATGTTGCCGTGTTAATATTATCAGGATTCGTAAGAAAAAATAATATTAATTTACCAAGAAATGAGTACGCAAATACTCGATTCAACCAGGAAAGGAAAGCACCGATTTACGACGTCACACTTAGCGAACAGTAAATATCGTACGGTAGCGCCTCTCTGTACAAATTAAAAAATAAATAGATAAATTTAAAATAAATTCCAATTTATTCTGTAGTTTCTATTTCAAGGTTCTATTTCAACTAAAATTTTCCAGCATGTGCTTATATATACAAAGTATAAAACAAACTTACTTCCCGGGGTCTGTACGCTGGGATCTTTTAAACTACACAACCGATTTAAATTCGGTTTTCAATACAATATCCTTCTACCGCAAGCAATTTTTTGCTCAAATGGACGTTCCATATACTGTCAATCGATACAATATACTTCTATCGCAAGCAATTTTTTGCTCAAATGGACGTTCCACAAACTGTCAATTTTATGTACTACTAGCTTTTGCCCGCGACTTCGTCCGCGTGGTATAATTATTTTGGGCAGCATATATTTTTCAAAAACGCTGTTGTTTCTCGTGTACTATTATGTTATCATAATAAATATTTTATGTTTAATGTAATGTTTATAATAATTCAAGACGATGGTTTATATTTATAGACCAAGTGAGGAAAGCTAGCTCACTTATATAAAAATCTCAAATTTTGCTGTTACAACAAAGTTCCTAATTTTTCTAGTAGACATTATAAATATATTTTTATTATTAATATGTAGTATATGTAATTATAGTTAATAGCATTTACTACCATTTTAATATTATTATTTTCATATTTAATTACAAGAATAATTTTTTGTTTGCACCCCCGTTTTATAATTGTCATTTAATTCACTCCACACAAAGGTTGTAGAGATCGATCTATGCGATAAGACCGCCAATTGTTACACAGTAATATTAGTCGTGTATATTTATATTTAGAATAAAGTGTTATTATATTTCATTTTATCATTAAAAATAGCTGTTCATAGATAGCTTCCAAAATTATTATCCGGACTCATAACTGTGAATATAGATCTTTGTATGTACATAAAATATCTCATTATTTTCTCATTGCCTTAGGCGTGTTTGGCAACCCAGATAGAATATCACATCCTACATCTATAATATAGTGAGAACATATCTTTTCTTGCTTCTATTTTTATAACAAAAAATATAATTACAGACCCGTAAAAATACCTCAACTCAAATATTTATTATCAATAAGAAAAATAACATATCAAAGTTTGATTAATTGAAATAATTTGACAGGTTGTAGACTGTACTTCCTTTTAATATTTAATTAAAATTTCAAAGCAACTATTATTCTGACAAGTTTTTTGTGTAAATTATAAATAAAATATGTTCGCACATGAGAGTTGAGGAGACAAGGCCTGAATTATTTAATTAAATATATTCTGGCAAAATTGAGTTGATATACCAGTAATGTTCAAGTTTCATAACTTTTATTTGTTTTGCAGAATGATTTAAAATTTACTATTTCATTATGTTTTTCCTAAATACATGAAGATTAGGAGACACACCGGTGGCCATAGGAAATGATCAGACGTAACACTTTATTTAAGGCAGCTGTAAACTTTTTCTAAGTCCTCTAATAGCTGCTTATTCTGGCAACAAAGACACTTATGTTATAATCTCTGCAAAATATGTTAAAGATAACGGTAACTCTTAACTTTAATGTAGGTTACGATAGATTTAATCATCGAGATCTTCAACATTTTTTTTATATTAGAACACTGTTTAGAAATGCAACACCTAATAAATAAGCTTTCCTGGCAGTCATTCTAAGTCAGCACAGTTTCTTCAAAAATTTAAGAAATAAATTTATAATAAGAAAGAGAGCTCCTGCTTTTAATATGTCGCCAGATGATTCTTCACTTCAACTCAATAGGGACGATGACAGGGTTAAAAGAAAACTATAAAGCAAACTTCAATAGTTTGCTGAATAGATTTTTTTCTTGCTTTAACGTATTTTATTGCTTTAATTTAACAAGAAATGATTTAGCTAATAGGCATTAAAATTGAGGGGCGAGGGCTCACTACGCCACAGTTTTATAGAAAATGTGTAAAAGCGTGGCGTCATGCGATATTTCAACTCCATATTTTACCGTTATTTATTGGTTACGCAAAAATTAAAAAATACGTGTAATATTGTTTAAAAATTTACTTGACGGAAAACAAACAAAAAATTTGTCGTCATCGCTATTGTTACAAATATTTATCACATGAGAAATCGTTCACCTTTAGTTTTAGCGGTACAATTTCTTGTGGAAATTAACATATTTTTTTACAAGAACAGAGAAGGCAAAAAGTTAAATAAAGATAATACCATTAATATATGACGTATGTATCTGGAATGCTATTTAGTCTATATGGAATGCTATTTAAACATATTTTTTTACTTATTGGGGTGGTCCTAAAACGTATAATTACCAATAACCATTGAATAACTATGATCAACGCTATTTGAGATGCAGTTTGCTTACTTGTGCGACGGTGTTAGCCAGGTTTTGCAGGAGAGTAACGCCCGGTTTCTGAATTAAGAATTTGAAGTTGAGCACGTCTCAAACCGTGCTTAAGCCATTTTAAACGTCAATTAAACAGGTTTTCATTACCGATTTATAATTTTTTAATGATCAGTTGATCGCAATTTAATAAAACTAGGACTTTTTGCCATATGAAACGTAAAAAACTTAAGTTATTGAGAATAATCAGTTGAGATTTCGTGCTTTTCTCAATTTAGAAACCGGCCATTAGTATATTTTTACTCGTGCTTGATACTTTTGATATTATGGCGTTTCTTATAACCTTTCCAACGTTTTCGGAAAAGCCATACTATGGTTGTAGAAAGTATTGATTTAATATTAATAGTTATTAATTTAAATTTTCGCTTCTAAGGATTTGGGACCAGTGCAACGTGGTGCAAGATTATTTAACTGTTTGGGACGGAGCAACAAGAGATTCACCTGTATTGGTTCGCCTTTGTGGTGGTGACGCCGTGCCCGATATTATCAGCAGGGGTCCAAATATGTTATTAGAATTCCACACTTCGCCATACGACAATCCGTTTCATCCTGTGCCTTTGAGCTATCTTCCTGGATTTGAACTTGAAGTGCAAGTGAGTATAGTTATATATTAAAATCGTGCCTTTAATAATAGGACACAAAATTCAGTTATTGGTTTATGAAAGAAGAAATACACTGTCATAAAAATACAGGTTGCAATAGTATATTGATTAATATCATTAATAAAAATCAGTGAAAATTTTCAATAGTCTTAGTGACAGGGTACAGTTTTTTAAGCATTTTTCCTTAAGGTAAATACAACAAATTATAAATGAAGCTATAATTCACTTTTGGAAAATTACACAGTTGAGAGTCGCACTGAATTCAATATTTATGTAAATTTATGTAAAATAGAATTCAAAATTTCATCGTCATCATCAACCCTTTTACGTCCCCACTGCAGGGGCTCAGGCCTTCCTTATGGATGGTTAAGGAGGATGGGTCATGACCGTCTACGCTCACCCAATGTGGACGACCAACGGCTTTATGTGCCTTTTTAAGCACGAAGTAACTCTAAATAATATTTTTTGGTCACCCATCCCGTGACCGACCCTTGCGAAAGTTGCTTAACAATAACGATCGCGGGCGCGACCCTTATTTACTTTGCTACTGAGCTATTCAAAATTTAGAGATTTTATATAGTTAGAAACAAAAAATCAAAGTAGCGATGTGACGGATTCATTATTCTTTTTATTTCAATCGGTTGGTTCCTCCCGATCAACTCATCAATATTCTTATTAACATTATCCTGCATAAGATCGAACTTTCCAATAAAATCACGACCAAGTACAGATCGTCTCTAGCTAATTCGATAAAACCGTCTATTCAAGGACCTTCTGAGAGCGTAATCAATTTAATGGCTTAAATATTCCATTCAATATTCCGTCCGTTTTCAAGTTAACCCTTGATTTAAATGCAGAATGTGCGTTCTTAAGCAGAGTGTGGCTTTTGATTTATCTTGTCATTTCAATTCTGATTTTATGGTCACGTGCTTAAGGGTGCATTTCCTTTGCTAGGTGCTGTACGTCGACAAAGATTCTCATTCGTACGTGCGTGCCGATGGACGTTGTCGTTTTGTATTACGCTCCTCGGACAAGACGAGTGGCGTACTGAAGAATCCGAGGCATTCATTGCCGCCTAACACGTCTTGTGTGTACTATTTCCAGGTAAGGTGAAAACCGCAAATAAAGTAGATTTGTTCATTGAAAAGGAAATCTCATTATTATCTTAATAATGTTTAAAAAAGAAATAGCTATTATAAAAATCAATTCAATGTAATTGTGGAGAAAGCAACTGACAAATATTATTAATCTGAACAATTGAATTTTAAAAACTTCTTGAATTGAATAGATATTATCATTCTAGCTTTCTTTATTCTTGTTTCATTCATGAATAAGTTAGATCCTATTAAATATTGTAATGGTGAAATCGTCTTTCCATTTCACTGGCTTCTAAGTAGTCGTTAAATAAACTTGAGTGTAATAAAAAACGTATTAAATCATAACAACCCTTTACGCTAACTTTAAAGATTAAAAAGTTGTATAAAAAGTTATAAATAACTAAACGATTTGAACTTACGGTCAAAGTAAATTACAGCCCATTTATTGAATAATTCATGAGTTTTTATCATTATTTATATTTTTTAGGGTCGCCCTAATGAGATAGTCTGGGTTTCTTTTGTAAAATATCATTCGGCCGGGACGGAGCCAGCAGGCTTTGATCAACAGAAGGATTGCTCATCCCAACTAACGATTTGGGATGGGGCTGCACCAGATGCCGATTTAGATAGAAAGGTAAATAACAGTGATTTATTTAATCCTATTTATTTAGTATTTATTCCTAATTTGACGAGCACTTTAGATCGAAATAGTGTTATAAATTCATCTCAAAAGTTTTTTAAGAAACATAAGCAATAAAACTGCCTGTTGCATGGTACTTTAAATTTATTTTCTCAGGTTTTTTTGTCAACAATAAATCTAAATGGTTGCCAAAATATTCTGTAGCACCGCAAATCTAGCCAATAAAATGCTAAGCTTTAAAAACTAACGCGCATAATAGCACAAGTTGCCATCATAAAATTTCAAACTACACGATTCGGAACGGGGGAAATGTTAGCATATCGTAATGAAATGTGGATTAACTTGGACGCGTGTGGGAACTTTTGCATTTCTGCTAGTGAATAATACGATACAGTACTGAAGCAATATAAAATTTGGTGGCGTTACTCGCCTTTATCCGTGCCGTTTCACTTTGCCAACTACCTCTATACTCTTGACGTCGGCAGCTAAACATTAATTTTCTTTAATGTGTCTGAGTACTCTTACCGGGTACCTAGTCGACTGCACTGCGGCGTTTCGTTTCATTCATTTGGAATTCCTTAGTTATGCTTTAGCGCACTAAGCGAGAGTGTTCATGAAATGCTAATTACTTAGAACAAGATTGAGAGCTGGAGATGGAACATTTCATAATGGGGTTAGAAATACACATCCTAACTGTCATCTCGGTCCAGTATTTTTCAGTTTCTTGAAAGCAGCATGCAGCGTTATTAATTATTTTTCTGTCTATACTAAATTATAAAAAATAAATATTTCATTGTTTGTTTGTATTGAATAGGTTCCGAGACTACTGAATCGATTTGAAAGATTCTTTCACCTACGGAAAGCTATAATTTACGGGAAGTTGCGGAAAAACAGCTAATAATAAGATAAAATCTTTTGTATTATACTGTATAAGCCATTAAAAATCTTAGAAGTATTATTGAAATATTAAAATAAACATTAGTCAATGATTGGACTGCGATGTTACTTTTAGAAGATTTCATTTAATAATTATTAATGTTCCATTTGATCAATTGTAAATACAGATACAAAGGCAAATTAATAAATGTTACGTCAAAAATGTGTTAAAATCATAAAAAAAAAATTGTGAATATCAGAAATCTCCCTCAATACTAAAACACTAAATATTTGAGAGAATAGTGTTATTTTATTGATAATATTATTCGTTTTGCATCTTAATCCCGCCCAGTGTGTCAAATCTTTTGTTTTACATTAGGAAAGGATGAGCGGTTACGTTTTTTTTAGTTCCTTAGCACTTTAATCAGGAAAGTTTCCACTTCAGAATACAACTCGCAAATAAAACGATACGACGGTAAACAGTATTGTTATTGCAAATCAGAGTTCTGGAAATTGCTTTGGTCAATCCAAATGTACTTAATAGTAGTCAGGCCTTATCTTGTAGAAGGCCTTTCTATTTATTGTATTCTTTAGACATTTTATATAATGATTGAAATTTCGGAATGTTTCTCTTGCTCGCAAGAATAATGATACAGTTCAACATTTTTATTGTGCTTTTTCCCTTCTTGGACCATTGTTAAAAGCTAGTAGACAATGCATTGACCAGCGACTCCCTAATATGGTAGTTTTACAGTCATTAAAGGCTTAATAAATAGACAATCATATGCTACACTATAATCTGCTTCGATACATTTTGAAATAGTAACTTTATTTGTTTTTAGTTAATATACGATTGAAAGCATCATTGTTAAAATAAAATTCACGATATGCTTTCAAACTTGCTACTTTGTAATATGCGTTAATTACCCAAAGCCAATTAATGTGATGATAAAAGGTTCTTTCTGAAAGATTACATCGATTCCGATGATTCCTTTTTATTGTCCATTTATTCATATGTAAAACATAAAAATATTAATGTTTTTATATAAAACAAACTGAACCTCTTTATTGCTTATATATTAGAGCTGCAATATCGGACTTTATATGTATATTTTTAAAATAGATAAAATCTAAAGACACCATAACTTATATATCATTTCATAAAACTAATAATTAATTTGCTCACTATATTTTAACGTAAAATTATGTACTAATGCAATTTTTTGCCCATGTATTGCTGGGACAATCATTTACCCAAACCACTTTAACGCCTAACCTGCTAATGCTATTGTTTTTAAACACTAGTATGATTGCGTTTCACCTGAAGTTTTGTTGAATGAATAAAGACTTCAAATAAGTTAAAACATATTAATTTGTTGGCAGTTGGATATGTCGGACAAGAAATCTCTCCTGGGTTCATTTTGTAGAGAAGAGTCGCCCCGTTTGTGCGACCACGCTCTTCTGTCAAACGCAACTAGAGCTACACGTCCGTGTGCTCCTACGGAGAGCTACATCACTACAGGATCAGCGCTGACTATTTTACAGGTAAAAAATCTTTATGTACATAGCTTAATTTGATGGGGTTCGAAATTTGAACTCGAAATTTCAACTTTTTCTTGTTGATCGATTGATTTGAAATATATACTACCTTTAGTCTTAGCAACACATGTTTACTACAATTCTCATAATGTAAGTTTAGTAAATCAATATAAAGGCTTATTTTATGGCATCCAAAATTTATAGATTTATAGTTTGATAATGATTGTTAAATATTTATTTACTACTACTAATAACAGACATTGAAATGTAATTTAAAATAGACTGAAATCAGGTTTGACTTTCAGAATTTCACAACTGTCAACTGGACGATGTTGACGATTGATGGTGAACAGTAGTTTTTTTTTTTCATAGCAAAAAACGTATGCCTAGTAGCGGTCTCAAAACAAATTCAGTTTTAATAGTCTGTAAAAAATTAAAAAGGTCTTTTTTTTAGAACAAAAAGCAGCTGCTGCTGTGAAAGCAATGTCGTTTTCAAAAACTTGGTCAAAAACTAATTAAAATTTGCTCAATTGACAGACTTCTTACTTAAACCGTAATGAAGATACGTAGGTTAACTGACATAGATACTGCCAGATTAGTATACTTCAGTTACTTTCATAGTGTTATGTCGTACGGTATCCTATTGTGGGGAAATGCTGCCGACATACAAACAATTTTTGTGCTTCAGAAAAGAGCAATTCGATCAATTTATAATCTTAGGATTAGGGACTCTTTAAGGGAGAAATTTAAGGAAATAGACATTATGACTGTTGCTTCTCAATACATATACGAGAACATAATGTACGTTCGTAAAAATATTAGTTTGTTTTCTATAAAAAGTGATGTACACAATTTTAATACAAGAAATAAAAATAAATTAACGGTGCCTGTCACTAGACTGCAAAAAGTTAATAACTCTTTCAAGGGTCTTTGTGTGCGCTTCTACAATAAGGTCCCAAGCAAAATACAACAATTAGATATCATGCAGTTTAAATCTACTATTAAAAAAATACTTATTAAAAAAGCTTATTATAAGGTATCCGATTATATAACAGATAAGAATGCTTGGACTTGAGATGATCCAGCAACTGGATAGGTGATTACTTCTAAACTCATTATCTTGTTTCCATTATTATTAAATGATTATGTTATTATTATAAGACCATAGTTTTTTTTTATCTCTGTTTATAATGTATTGATCTGGTAATGACATGGTTTTTGTAAATGTCATTACTCATATTAGAGCTGGTAAGTTTCTTGCTCGTTCTTCTTATCAGCCAAAAGACGTCCTGAACGAGTGGTAGGGAAAAAATGTTGGACGATTCAAAAGTACTTTTAAGAAGTCTATTTGAATAAAGATTATTTTGACTTTTGACTTTGACTTTGAAACTGATTCTAATTTTTAAAACACGATATTTTAAATAATCTATCTAATAAAAAGTCTGAATTCATTTTATCCCAAGATGATGTTTTTTTATTCCACTTAGATATCAACGTACTAATGAGATCGTTGTAACCGAACATACTAAGAATTTATTCAAAATCAATCGTTATTCACGATCGTTTAGAGTTATCTTTTGCTTGGTGATAGCGACATTCCCAAATGGTTTTTATATTAGGAACAAACACTGATGAGGTGCTATTGAGTTTTGGTTATGACATGGGCATGTCAGAGCAATGGGAAATCTGGAATAAATTCTTTAAAGAATTTTTGTAACATTTTCTTTGGATAAATATTTTCATACGTTCTGATTATAATTGTGATTTGCATATTTATGTGTTTATGTTATCTATTTTCTATATACATTCGTATCGATTTTGTTATCTAAGTTTATTTGAGACCATTTCTCAATTGTAGCAATTCAATAAAAATATTTTCACTGCTCGGGATCTTACGCAATAGTAAAGCAGTGCTATTCTATTCATAATACAGTGTCGAACGCAGTATGTAGAGATTCGATCGAATTAATCCTTTATTACCTTTTGAAGTAGGTTTATATTTTGATATAATAGCAAAGCTAACGACGAATCCCACGTTAAAGTACATTATATCCAACTTGAATAGTCATTTCTTCACTTATTTTTTTTTATAATTTTTTTCTTCTCTTTTTACCATCTAAATACTATGAAAATATAAGTAAAATATTGATTAATTTATCCAGTAAATATATAACAATTTAATTAGATCATCAAACCAAACTTTTAATTCTACCATTCTCAGGTGAGATTGACAAATGGATTGCTAATGAAAGTGTACAAAAATTTATCAAGACACGACATTTCTATTTTTTTCAATGAATTATAAATTTATTAACAGATCTTCATTTAAAATAACATCACTATTACACGCCATTTTAAACTTTGAATAAATAAACAGGGTTAATTTGCACAGATTGTACGAAAGTTCATATCCAACTGACAATTCTATGTGAGAGCTGCTAATTAAAGCTGGCAAATATTAGCCTTCCATTTCGTGTAAGGGGATGCTTGCATATGCACTCAGTGGAACGATGCGAAGTGCATACGATTTTTTACATAAAACCGTGGACAAAGATCAATATACTGTCTAGATATGGCTGAATGCCAAATTGGCTTACATGACTGCGCTTGTAGTATTAATTTCCGACGGCTTAGGTTATATTTATAGTTCGCCGTTTTTATGAATTCTGTCATCACTTTTTTAGTACATAATTGATTTGATCTTAATAGGCGTCTCGGCTTTTCGCGGCATTTTATGCATTGTATCTCAAAAATAAATAAATAAACATTTTGTAAGTTCTAACAAAGCTCTAAACTTGTTGACTTATTTTACAAAGACTCTAAAGTAAATTTCGTTTATTTTTATATCCTTGGTGTGGCAAGTAGACAATCGTAGGTATTTAACAGTAGTATCTGTATTCAATGCATTTTAAACCACTCAACCGGTTTTAATTAAATACATTTTCGTACTGCAACATATTTGCGCATCCTAAATGTCTCTTAGTTGTTGTCTGGCATTCTTTTCCACAGTTTCTATACCTAGGTTGTATTCAGAACTTTTCTGCCCGGTGAAACATTCATCCAGCAATGTAGATAAGTCACGCGCGCAGAGTTGCATTTGCCATAGTGAATAATGCAAGTAGAACGTGCATAGTGTACCTATATCATACGAGTAGATTATCTCTTATATACGTGAGTGTCTAGAATTAACCGACTCAGTAACTAGATAGATATAAATAACTAAGTAAATGTAAACACGGATTTGCGTTAAAGGAATTTTGATAGAGTTATGTGGGGCAAGGGTTTTTGTACGCACTTTCTGTCTAAATCTCTTGAAACTAAATATCAATAAAGTATACGAATATAAAAAAAATCGAATCCTGTGTTCTAAGAGGCACCAATTGAGGAGCACCAATCTTACCTCCTTTTTTTAAATAAGAAATTAGTCACTCTGCAGAAGACAGGGTGAAAAGAAAAGAAATGCTATTTAGTCCATCAGTCAGACAATAGAAAAATATTAGATACGTATTTTTATACTTAAATTTAACAAGAAATAGCTAAGATTAAAGGTGAGGGGTGGCGGCTCGCTACGTCATAGTTATATAGAAAATGTACGAACGCGTGATATCATGTGACATCTTATATCAATGTATCGCCATAAATTAATGATTACACAAAAAAAAAATATGTGTTTAATATTCTTCTTCAATATTACACCTGACAGACAAACAAAAAAAAAATTAAACGTACTAGATTTCATAAACATTAATTTTTGTGAGATCATAAATTATTTACTTGTGTATTTTCCTTTATTGAGCTGAGAAATTTCAGAAGGTCAAGGTCTAGTTTTTCTTTTATCGTCGACCTTTTCTTGTGTTCTTATATTTCTGTATTTAGGCTGGCTCAGATCTTTGTGCTTAGATTAATAAAATGTAGACCTTATTATTGAGCTAATAATAAAGCTTAATATGCTATAAAACGGAACAAAGATCGTCTGATTATCTCGGTCTATTTTCATCGTAAGCCCTTTGATAAGGATTAATTAATTCTATGTTAATTATATATGCCTAAAATAATATAAATACATATTCACAAAAGTACGTTTACTTTTCATAGATAAGTTCATAGATAATTATGAATATAACTACAATATTTAACTGTAAAACACTAAACCGGCATAAATTAGAACCTAAATTAAATTAGATTATTTATTTTTGTAATAAACTTTATCAAAACTCCCCGCTTTAATTATAATTTAAGAAATTATCTTCCTCAATAATGTTAATGTAGATGTTTCGCGATCATAGTAGTCTCGATAGCGGTGATTCGGGTAATTTATAATTAATGAAACTGGTTAATAGGCGGGTAGTTTAATATTCTAAGATTTCGGCTGATTGTATTAAAATTTATCTATGCCAGATATCTACATGAAGATTTAAACTTGATACTTAACTGATATAAATTATTAATAATAAGTAAGTAGTCGCTGTGGTTGCGGTGGATAAAATTATCCTAGATCATAGCAAAAGCATTAGTGCTAGCAATCGATTCTAAGACAAAATGTCGTAGGACTATACTGTTGTTTTGATACATGTTTGCTAAGTAATTTGCATTCCCATATTTTTTATAATAATTTTCTTATGATGCTTGTCGTGGCAACCGTTAATCGAGAGTTCACTTCGAAATATAAACAAGTATGTAATTAATATAACAATACAAGTAAATGTCTTGTATTGTTCAAAAATTATTACATTATCTGTATATAATTATCCAATAAAAAAATTCATATTAAATGTTATTCTATAAATTTATGCTTCAAATTTTACATTTGTTATACTTTTTGTTATTCTACTATGACGTTGTTGCTAGTAACCGTGATGGAATGCCTGTGACCCGTCCAGTCGTTATATATGTTAGCCCCTGCCTGCAGTGTTACACTGTGAGTTATTACGTGAAGAAATGACCTTTGAAATTCGGAAATTCGGCAGAAGAATGATGTTTGCAAATGAGTACGATAATAATAAGGGTAGAAATAGTTGAAATACCATTTAGTGGAAATATTGGGATAATTAATGTTATCATGTAAATTATTAAAGATATAAAAGTATATCATTTATATGTGAAATAATAACTTAATAGCACGTAAAAAACAACAGGAATTGAGTTTATTTCATATCGGCGATATTATGCAATCTCCTTGGCCGAAACTCTAAACTCATTGGTCGTCTACAGTTAAATATTTTATAAAATTCTGATTTTAGCTGTTTTAAGTTAGCTAATTGTTAATATCTAATCCTATAATGGTAAAATAATTTCGTATAAGGGTAAAATACAAGACCATATTGCTAAGACCCCACTGTCTCTCAAGCTATAACTCATGAACCGAGGTAATTAGCCACTTGAAATTTTCAAAGATGATATATTTCTATTGCCGCTACAACAAAAAATAAAAAAAAAATAAAAAATTCAAGGAGGCTCTTTTACGAACGAACGTGGTTTTTCGATACGGACTCCTTCGTGTGCGACTTTAACTCGCACTTAGCCGGATTTAATATAGTTTTAGGTTTAAAATTCGCAATATAAAACCTTCTCCATGGTTTCGGTAAGCATAAGAATACTATTTAGCATTCCCTATCTGTTAAAGGAGGAATTTATATGCAACTCATAAATTCTCATAAATAGTGGTGCCTTATTTTAATATAGGCAAGTCTTAAGCAAGTCGTTAAAGTCGCTAGAACTGCTTTATTATTCAATATTAAATTCAACAAGGACTCTAGCTAGTTGCTAACTAAATACTGAAAGTTTTGCTGCGCCACAGAGACTAATTGCGACCTTGGACATGTAATACCTTTTCTAAGTAAATAGTATATATATAATATAATAATTTTAAATAACATATACATAAAGTAATCATTCGATTACCTAACAATAGATTATTTCGTTACTAAAAAAGTTATAAAACTTTCTTATTTAATTTTACACCTTTTTTTAGATTTTATATCTTTTTAAGATTAAGCACAATAGGCGTTTTACAAATTTTGTTGACTAAAAAATGAAGTTGATTTCCTTAGAATAGTTTTTATAGTTTCATTACAGAAATCCGTTTATAAGAAATTTACTTTCTCGTTTACTCAAATCTTGTCAGCTAATTTTAAAAATTGATTTAAATTTTCGAGGCACAAGGTTGTGCCTTATGAGTTGACCAAATATTGAATATTAGATACCACATACTTTTTTTTTATTTCAAAAAAACAAACTGAATAGAGCTAAAGCCCATAAACAGTATAGAAAAATTCTACTTTGTAGTACGCTCAAGTCCCAGTTGTATACCAGGCTTATTTTCGATTTTTCAAAGATCGAATGCATATTCAATTAATCACAATCCCACAGGAGCTCCGTCAAGGGTCAGCCTTGTACCCCGTGTCATTCCTACTACGCTACGAGTTCGTCGACGTGAGTGAGCAGGGCCAACCTCTAGTCGATTCCCGTTCGGCCTGCGACAGAGTATTCAAATCGGCTCAAACTTATTCTGGGAGATTCCAAGCTCCCAGAGCAATATTCTACTATGGGCGAGGCGGAGCGCAAAACCTCACTTGCATTTTAAGGTAGAGTGTAGTTTGTAAGTTTTTACTATTCTATCTTTTGATTATGACGATATGATTTCAAAAGCAAAACTACTTTGACCTCCAAAATAATTTAATGTTTAATATTGAATTTTTTTTATTACCGACTTGTTTTAAGCTATTAATTATACTTTTTGATTTGATTTAATAATTAATACTTCACTATTATCCCTTTGTTAACAGATTTGAAGCTAAGCCTGGAGAAAGGGTACAATTGACTTTCACGAGTACTTACTTTGGAAATAAATACTGTAGTACTCATAAAGACTCTCGAACAGGCCGATGGAAATGTGACAGACCAGCAAAAAGAATTATGGGAGGCGAAGGACTTGCTCAAATAATTGTTACTGAATATCCCTGGGAAGGGGTACCTATACAGAGAGATTGTTTTTGTACAAATCGTTCTGATCCTCTGAATGTACATACTCTAACTGCTTCAGTTGTTGAATTGAACTTTACTGTTACAATGATGAACATCACCGAAGATTATGAGGATTTTGCCTTCGAGGGTGAATATAAATTTGTACCTACTGGACCTGGAGATGAAACTGTCTGCTCAACTGGTTGGGGTAAAAGACAACTCAGAGGAAGTAGTGGGGAAATCAGATTATTTGACAAAAGGCAAACAAATATAGCACCAGAAATAGTTGGAGATAGACACGTTATATCCGAAAGCGTAAGAGCAGAGGTCGCCTGTGTTCATAGACCATGGCTCATTGAACCAGGAGGCGATGAAGTAACTCCTGTACAGGGAAGGTATCTTTATGTAAGAATACCTGGTTATGAAATGACGACTACATCACCATTTTGTCCAACACCTAATAGACTTTTTATATATGAAGCTAAAGATACCTCGCGGTACCGTGAAGTTTGTCCTGATGGTCCTAATTTCTTGGAATTGTACTCTCCTGGTTGGCTATCGGCTCAAACCCCTCTAGAAACAACTCTGAAGCCGCATGCTCGTAGCTATGTTGTCGACTTTTTGCAACATGAACAAGCAGACTATTCTATCAAATGGATCGAACTGATGAAAAAGCCTGCATTTGAGCCAGACCCTGAGTCTACTCTTCTACCAGTTACAGCACCACTCGAATGTCGTTACAGGTATGTATGAATAACATTGTTAATCATAGTTTGAATAATTTGATCACTATATTAACATTACTTTTTTATCTTCCTAGTTGCCCTGAACTCAACGCATGCATACCTATCGCGTTGTGGTGCGACGGAAGCCCACATTGTCCTTCTGGTTATGACGAAGATGATTCGAACTGTTCATTTAGAATATCTTTACCTCCACCTTATGTTGCTGCTGCTGCTGGCGCTGGTTTACTTCTTTGTGCAGTTTTAGTTGCCCTATGTGCATGTAGACGACGTAGAAGAAAAGATAAGGAATTCAAAGCGCGATTGGACGGAGCCCTGCCACCCGAAGAAAGACCATACGATCGTGCTAAAACGAATGGTGTACCCGAGGCGGCGCGTCAATACGCTACCGTTCAAAAGTATGCCACTATAGATAAGTACAGCTTAAGTCAGAAATATAGCGCTGGCTTGAACGATGCGAGATACTACGATGAAGTGGCACAAAGAGATAAGCTTGCAGATACTAGGTACGCTAGCTTAGGCCGGGCGGGTCGAGGCATGCGCGTAGAGAATTCAAGAGGCACTGGTTCGAGAAGAGCGATGCCCGACCTTGGCTATCCGGATCTTAAAGACGGTTTTTGTTGACCCTCTCCAGATTTGATAGAGACGACTGTGTAGTAACGAACAAGCAAGATTCGGACCTATTGGTATAGTATTAACGTGTTTTCGTGTAAAATTAGAAAGAAGACTGATATGGCGAAAGTGCCTCTCAAAATTTTGGTCACCAACAAACTTAATATCATTAAATATCTGTAAAAAAATAAATAAAACATCAGCAGTTCAATACTGTCTTACAATGTAGAAAATTGTAAATAAAATGTATTTAACTATAGACTTGCTAAATACGAGTACACTGGTTTAGTTTCTTTTAATCAAATGTCACCATTTTGATCTCATCAATTAACATATCTATGTACATACTATATTTGACAATACAAGCTTAATGAAACCAAATCATTCCTACAAAAACTATGTTAGTGAAATTATTCATAATATTAAAATATTCGGAGTAAGGTCTATTGCAATGGCAAAACAATTCCTATTTTACTTTCTGCCATTATAACATATTTATTTGAATATTTGGAAAGTTATTATAACAAAATGTGAATAAACCATAGCGTTATTATGACTATTTTAACAAACTTCTAGATTATAAGAATGAAAATGTGATATAGTTGTAAAAACCAAACTTAAGCATTCACGAACTGTATGGGATTATTATTAGTTAAAAATATTGTTTCTATGTGTATAAAAAATTAGAAAAATAAATTGTAACTATGATTAGCAATCGGTTGTAAATAAATTATAGTATTAAGATTTTTAAACTGTAATTATTTCCAAATAAAAGGAAAATTAAACTCATTTCTAAAAACATTGCAATTACTTTTATTCATTTATAAAAAATATTCTGAAAATAATAAATAGATATAAATTATATATTACAGCTTTATAAAATCAGCAAATGGAAATCCTAAATACCAACAATAATAAAAAATCCTTTTTCGCAACTCAGTTGCCATGCTGTCCGAAATAGTAGGTAACTTATAGTAAGGCATAACGTTCATTATATTTAAAACGAAAAAATTTTCAAGTTTGACTTATAAATTTATTAATTATAGGCCAAAGCTGAAATAAGTAGTTTGACACATTCTGAAACAGACACATTACTGACCTTTTGCCTTTTGCGTCGTTCAGTTCATAATTCCTTTTAATCTTATATAAAAAAAATTTTTTCATTCAACGTTATCATAATTCTGACCATACTATAATGATTCATAAAGATCTATCATAGTGTCAGACATATTTGACTAAAGATACGTCTCGTATCATCCGTCGCAGAACGTCAGACAGAAATGACAAGATGTATAAAATTAGCTTTCCCCCAGTGGTCTTGCCCGCGTGGTTTACAAAATACATGATAACTTGACAGTAAATTTATACCTAGGAAACCATGGAAAACCTATACGTTAATTCAGGCTTAGGATTATCCGTATACCAAATTTCATCAAAACCCGTTGATTATTTTCGTGAAACACTAACAGAGAAAAATAAGGCTTGTTATCCAACATTGCACACTAGGTGAATGATCCGTTGTGATAACATACTTCCGTGTGATAATTTTCTTTATGCTATAGAAAACTTCTGTTAGCTAGGTGTCGATCCTACAATTTAACTATTTTTCGTCATCGTGGGATGCTTTTTTATTCGATCAAATTTGACTTCTCTACAAAGATCACGCTAGGACCTGAAATAATTTGAAGTTAGGCTTTTTTGTTTTAGAAAGATGTAATTAATTGGAGGCTCAACAAATGAAATTCAGTCCAATTCTTTTTAATTAATATTATTTTCATTAGTCCTAAAAGAAAAACTAATGGAAACACAATACTTTAGTATTATGCGAATATTATTATTGCCTTTGTTTTACCATCGGTAGACAGACGGTCTCCTATTTGGAATACATAATTAATAAATATAAATTGAGCTCTATTATTTTCATTTGGAGTTTAAAATTGCTTAATTCAATATGTTCACGGATTCTTAAAGCGCTCCAAATAATATAGCTCTACAACAAGACTAATTTGTATTTGTCTCGTCGGATAATTGAATTATAGGCTCACGCTGCATTAGTCGTCCACTTCGTTGGCCTAACGAGCGCTGCGCAAACTAAATTATCTGATGAACTAATTAAAGCCTGGATCGAAAGGACTTGGGAACAACAGGGATCTAGCGAATTTGTCGGTAAGTATTCAGAGATTGAGATACGTAAGTACATATTACTAAACTTTAAGCAGAATATTATGTAAGGAGGTTTAATATCTTCCATTTTGGTTTTGGAATGTCGCAAACTATGTTTGTTATGTAACTAGAAAAACGATTTAACAATTTCAGTAGCTTCTTTTGGAATTAGGCGAAGATTAAGGTTCACTCAGCTTTTGGTAGGACATTAGCTTTCCTTTTTTAAACAAAAATTAACTTTCTATGCGTATTCTTTTACAATCTACATTACAGTTTTTGTGAGTTTGTAAAATCTCTGAGTCATCGTTAAATTTCAAGGTTTTTTTTTCTAAAATATGAATTAACTATAGAGATTTTCTGGATGAGGATGCAGTTGTTGAGTGCAAGAGTTTCTATAGGTGCAAAACTAAACTTTATTTGTGGAAAAAGATACGTTTCATAAGTTCCATATCCATATTGGCATTCATTTAAACGTTCAGTTTCTTCCGTCTTTATTTAATGCCGTGATTGCCATTATAAATTACCTCGTCCACTGGAGACACCAGTTCAAAAAGAGATGAGGCGATGGAAGTTCTTTTATCGTAGTAGGAACCGTAGAAATTTTCTACCAGATAACCAGATGAAAGATGGTAAATAACACAAATGGCGGTAGAGTATACAATTAAACAGGAGTTAAGTAAAGTTTGTTCTGTGATATACAGGAAAAAAATTATAATAAGTTCGTTTGTTAAATTATGTTCAAGTGTTTTCATCCTTTTATTTACCTGCTTACATTGGAGATAAAAAAATATACTGATCAACATTACTTATTTTACAATACAATATTTTAAGAGATCGATAACCGATTTCTGGCAATATACCAACAGTTCACTATCATTTAAATAAACATGGATATATTCTTAATGAAAAATGCTTAAAAAATCTACTTTGTCTCTGGTAGTCTGAGATTGGATTTTAAACCTTACGGTATGGTTTAATTTCGGTAATAGAAAAGTTTTAAATATACATAAAGAGAAAAAAATATCGGTTTAAATAATTGTTTCCGCCAGTACGGCTCACTAATTTCTCTACTAACGAGTCATTGAAGCGTTTTTTTACTATTAATATTTAGAACGGTGGTAAAGATGTCTAATAAATTATTTAATTATGCTTCGGGATGAAAGCTCTGCTGTAATTTCTATTCAATACTGAAAAATATATACATAATATTTATTTATAATAATAAAAGCTAGTATAATAATAATAGTTGTAGTTTATTACATAATGTTTAAATTTTCTGATCTGTTTTTCCTAAAACTTAATTTTATTGTAACAATTTTCTAACTGGAATAATACGAATATTGGTCGTTAGTCAACACTAGAATATATTTTTGGCATCACCTCGCGTACACTGTTGAAATTTCCATATCTAAATGGAAAACGGCCCAGTAAAATCAATTACACCTCCACATTCTCTTTGAAAATGCACCTGCTCTGTTTCAACATATTTTTTGTTTAATGTTAATAAAGTTATTGACATTGATGTATAAAAAAATGTATTCATGTATTTACTCCAAACTGTGACTGTCTAATTTATAAACCGAGAACCTAAGTACCAGCTTTAAACCATTATCCGACTAAAATAAATCAACATATCTCAATATGACGTGTTCTCTTTTGTCATTTCAATTTGTTTTAGGCGACCAATTCTTTAAAACTTACACAAAATTTAGTTCTCGTTTTATTATGAGGGTAAGTGAATTATATAGTTAATATATAGATTCCACTCCACTTCTTCATTGATTACGAAGTTAATATTATACTTTCAATTTGTGTTATGAGTTTTTAATATTGAATGTGAAACAACGGCAGTGGTGTCTTCATTTTTATGTTATGTAAAGTATTTTAACTTCTTTATTTCAATAAATTATGCTAAATCAATACTTTTATGTTTACAACTACGTAAGTTAATAAATGCCTTTGTTGACGTCGATTTCAATATTATTTATAGAGATTGAACATAAATAAATATACACAGTAGCTGGCGACGACATTCCTTCGACGAATTTCAAGGAAGTCTCCCCTTTCAAAACTTTACTAAACCAAATTCCGATGTAATCTCGGGCTTGTCGCAAAACAATCAAAATATTCAAAACTTTATTACATTTTGAAGGATATTGTGAAAGCGTAATATCTTTTATTTGTTCAATGAAAGCTTCTTGTAATTAAGCGTATTTTGAAATATAAATTTTCATTTTACTAGATAGCTAAGAGTGTATTAATTTGTTCAAAGTTTATCTAGACAAAATAAAAACCTATTTGAAATGGTTGGGCATAGCACTTCTCATCTAAACCTACAATTGGCACTGTAAATTGTTTTTGTCAATTGAGTGAACGAGCGGACACGATATATATATTTAATTATATTCACAGAGAAAGCTGGGAGAGATTAATAAAAAAAATACGAATTGCAAGATTTTATTTAGTTTACCAGTCACCTGAATGGATTTAAATTAGGTTTCAGATTTTTTAGGTTCGTTCAAGATCGAGATTATATTTAACAAAATCTGTTTTTTTTTTTATAATTATTGAGTAACGTATTTATATTTAGCAGGTGCTATGAGAGAAATGGCATAATTAAACGTGTCATTCGTTCGAATGCACAATATTTCTCTTTGATGTTACTGTTGAATGAAAATTCGGAGAGGTGCCCATTATTTCGTTAATTACAAGCATTATGGAATGCAATGTGGTCGGTTAATATCCGTCCAATTCATATTGTTAGCTTGAGTTGCAGTGTTGTAATAAATATAATTCTTGGAAAATGTTTAGTAGCCCTGGTTGTATATTAACTTTTTTGTTTTACCCTA